CTCTTCTAAAATTTTGTTTTGGGAAACAAGCTGTCCCTAAATTGCACGGCCATGGCCTCCAACTTGCCATCCTCCTGTCTCAGTCTCCCTAATAGCCTGAGAGCACAGGCGCGTGTCACCAATCCCCACCAGCCTTACGTTTTTCGTTATGTAGAAAATAAATACTATGGGCACAAGGTTAAAACAATCCAAAGAAATTAAGAGCCAGCTTACTGCTTCTGTCTCCAGCTGGGCATCTCTTTTTCCTTCTTCAAACCGTGTTGGACTTTGTGAGAAAGTTCAGGTTTGCCTAGAAGAGAAATCGATGCAGTACACTGGCTGGTGGATCAGCACACCCTTGGCCTCCTCCAGTCAGACTCCCCCCTTGACAGCCACCCCCAGACCTACCAGACAGCTTGTGTCCTCTCATAACCGCTGGCATATGGAGCCCTCACATGCTTCCCTCTTTGCCAGGTGGATGAAAAAAAATGGCGAGAGGCCTGCGCCAACTTGGCCAGGCTGTGGGGCATTTCCAAGCTTTCCCTTCTCTGCCTGGTTCTGCTTAGCATGGGCCTCAAGAGAGGTTCTTGAGCAAGATTTGGCAGACAGAAGTGAGGCAGCACTCGTTCCTTGCTGCTGCTTGCGGCTCCGCTCGTTGGTGTGGGCAGAGCCCAGACCAGCGACTCTTTTGTCTTCCCTGGGATGGGCTGTGGCTGCAGGGACTCCCGGGCCACATGTGCAGCAAAGGCTCCCAGCTTCTGCACCTGTGGCAGAGAGTACAAATGGGAGTTTTAGCCCGTCCTTTTGGGCTCCCACCCATGCTTGGGATTCCAGCCAGCTTTGGAGCCTGCAGCCCCCTTCCTTTTCTGACTCTCTGATTTATTTATCATAGTACCAGGAACTGAAACCAGGGCCTTCACACTGAGTGTTACTTAATTTTCTGTCATTGCTGAGACACAATACCTGATGCCCAGAATTAAGAAAGGAAAGGTTTATGTAGCTCTGTTTGCGTAGGTTTCAGTCCATAATCAGCTGGCTCCAAGGCAGGGGGGCGTGGCATAGGGGCAACAGTTCAAGGTGGTAGAAGACAGCAAACCATTAAAAGCAACGCGGGGGTGGGGCAGGGAGATAGCTCAGTAGAATAAGCACTTGCCTGGCAACCGCAAGGTCCTGAGTTCAATCCCTGGTATGAAAAAAAAAAGTCATTAAAAGCAAAGGGAGGAGCAAGTCTGTTTTCCTCCCTTATATTGTAAACAAGCTACCCCCACCAAGGGTGAGTGTAGCACTCACACCATTTGGTGCCCTCCTCTTGCAGGGATGAGGATGTTTACAAAGTGAGGACCCTGACTTCCTGCTGAGGG